AGCAGGGCAGTTGCCCAGGGCCCCACACCACAGCGGCTCCTGGGAAGCTACATTGCTCAGGCTTCGGCTTCAGCCCTGGGTGGCGGGGATCAGGGCCCTGGGCTTAAGCCCCTTTCGGTGGGGCTTTGGCTTTCTACCGTGGGCCCCAGCGAGTGCTGGCCCTGCTTGGCGGCCCCTCTGAAACCTGCTTTCGGGCCCCCAGGGGGCCCTGGACCCCTGATTGAGAACCTCTGGGCTAGATCATCTCTTGAGGTCCCTTCCAGCCCTCCATTTCTATGATTCCATACTACTGGAAACTTGGACTGACCCCCCCAAATTCATTTCATGCAGGTTGCCAAACAGCCAAAAGATGGTTAACAGCTATAATAGCCTACTTTCCTAGGCAGGCTTTGAATTATGGATCTACAGTAGCAGCATGTGTGCCCATTTTATGTACCTACATACTGACCTGAGCATCTGTAATGCAGGATGTGGACATCTCACTAAGGGGCAAAAATTTGAAAATTGGGCCCAGAGTTTTAATATCGGAACAGAGGCTGAACTTCTGAAGTCCACTTGAGGGAGAACTGTGGGGAAACGGCACCATCATTGGTCAAAACATGACATACAACTTTTACGAGAGATCGGCTAATAATCCAAAGTAAAATTCTGCTTCCACTGAGCACCGAGGCTGAGAATCTGTATGGATACTGACACAGCACGTGTCCGAGGAACACTGGAGAGGAAAAAGAGGGCAGAGTATCTCCAACTTTGGGGAGTTTCAAACCTGATCTGAAATTTGCAAATGTCCCTTTCTCAATGGAGCTGATCCAACAGCTGGTGAAGTCAATATGAATCTTTTCACGGTGAGATCTTGAACACATTTTTATGGCATAAATTTAGTGTAAATGGTGTAAATGCTAAGAGCTGCTTAGCTAAGGCAAACAACTGTAGCAATGCAAATGCCAAGAGTTCCAACACGTAACACAATAACTGCAGCACATCTGTGAATTAATTCTAACCTGGAGCCTGATCCTGCATCCCATGCTAACGAAATCAACAGAACAGCTCACATGAGAGTATGAGCTGCAGAATCCACTGTACAAAAGAACAAAACCCATTTCTGAAAGCAGAGAACAGAGATATGAGGCAGTGATTGTCCGAAAGACCTTCTAAAATGTGTTCTCAAGATGGACAGTCGTTTGTGAGATGGGATCTCATTTTTCTCCATAGCTTTCAGGAGGCAATGAAGCGTGGAGTGGAGAACACTGGTGACCATCTGGCCATTCAGAGCCCATCAGTTTGTTATGACACCAAACACATAATAAAGCACAATAGATCGTACAGGAGATAGAGAAAGAGAGGGCTTTGATTTAGTTTCTTTACTGCCACTGACCCCTCTGCTTCCCCCATCCATCCCACACAAACACCTTCCATTTTGTATTTAGACACAGTCTGCTCTTAAAACAGCCCCTCACAAGACTTTCACTTGTAACATGGCACAACGTGATATTCAAAGGTCTGTGTTAGGATCCCAGAAGAAAACGGAAACTTTTCTGTGTAGGGACTTAACAAAGGAGATCAAAGAACTCTAAAAGGATAGGCGAGGGCAGTGAGAGAGAGAGAGAGTGAGAGAGATTGAGACCCTAACCTTTGAAGGCAGGAGAAGTCCCAGGAGGATAATAAGATGGTATTAGCCGATCTAAAAGGGAGATTGTAATGAGAAAGATAATTATCACTGAAATAGAATAAGTGTTCAAATAGAGAGTGAAGACATCAAATGTAAAGATCTCATCCCAACCTATAGCCAAGATTTTCATTAAGATCTTTGGGACACAGCATTACTTAGCGACTGAAGCTGAGTAATGGGAGTCAGGACTTCTGGGTTCTCTTCCAAACTTTTCCACTGACTTATTGTGCAACACTAGGCAAATCACATTAACCTCTTTTTGTCTCAGTTTCCCCACCTATAAAATGTGGACAAGAATGCCTTTTTCACAGGGTATTGCAAAGGTTAACTGATTTATGCCTGGAAAGCATGGTGAGAGCCTCACGGAACAGGAATGAAAGTATTATTTATTAGCACTTTGGAAGATCGTGCTGTGGGGACTTGGGCATTGTTTTGGAAGCCCAGCATTTCTGCAGAGCTCCTCCCAAATCATTCAGACTCTTGTTTCGTTGTTATTGGTTTTCCCCCTTAAACTGTGTAATTTACACCTTTGATACCTTGATAAAGCTAAACCCTGCAGTCGCTATAGTTCACTCTCGGCAGTTTCTTATGCTCAAATAAATTTGTTAGTCTCGAAGGTGCCTCAAGGACTCCTCGTTGTTTTTGCTGATACAGACTAACACGGCTGCCCCTCTGAAAACAATCACTTGAAGCTCTGAGTGGCAAAACTCAGACAATCCAGAGTTCAGATAAAGCAGAAGCTGCTGGCAGCGAGCGTAGTTGACCTCACCAAGGGCACAACTCTGTTGCCAATGGAAGTTTTGCCACTGGCTTCTACAGGGGAAGGATGCAGCCCTTGGAAAGAGACTACACACTCAATCGGATGACCCTTGCTGTACCTCTGAATTCCAATCAGTTTCCAGATACAACTCAGCTAGCAACAGTCAGAGCAGGACAGCCCCGCTGTGTCTGCACAGCGAAGCAGTCGCCAGCTCCTCATATTCATAGACCCTTTTGATCTTCTAGTTCTTAATGGAAAAGCATTTGCTCCATGACAAGGAGGCCGTCCCGAATGGCTGTGACACCTAGGAACCGATCCTCCTCTCAGTTTCACCAGTGTAATTCCAGAATAACCCCAATGGAAGTCAGTAGAGTAACTCTGGATTTACAGTAGCATACCTGAAATCAGAATCTGAACCCATGTCTTCACAGATGTGATTTTAAACCCGGCCTCTTTGTAATCAGTTTGGCCATGTAACAGTTTCCTTATTCCTTTTCCGTACCATGTTGTCGCTAAAGAGGAAGCCGTCAGCAGAACGGAAAGCTTTTAATTTTGCAACTTTCATGAAGATTTTTAAACTAGCTCCATTTTTTTTAAACTTCCCTAGTCTGCTCCCCAGCCACGTGTGGTTCAAAAGCCTTTACCACATGCATACTCTTGGGAAAGATCTCCTACCAGACGCAAAGTACTTTTCAATGGCTTTTCTTCCACTCCCCCGCACCATCCCAATCCTGGGGCTTTAGACGCTGTAGCTGCACCTGGCTGCATTCCAGGCGGTTGCTGATTTACTGCTCCAAAACCTGAATCTGCTTGACTCCTACTATGATTTATTAGCGGTGCTTTTATTCAGCACCTTTAACTTTCAAGATGAATGGAGAGCATCCCTTGTGTCTATCTCGGAGTGTGCAAGTGGAGGAAATGCGTCACACAAAGAAACCTGACCTTACAGCCGCTCTCAGTTATGTTGTGCTACAGAAGTAAATGCTGAATGCCAGGGTTCCCAAACTTTTTCACTGTGTGGGCCACATCTGAATAGGGAGATCGCTGTGTGACCCCCTTCCATCCCTGCTGGCAATGGTATAACGTCCCAGTGGCAATTACAGCAATTGCTTACAGGGAGAGGATTTCACATACTTTCAGCTTCTTTTAGTGCGATTTAGCAGCTGGGAACAAAAAGGAGGCCAGTACCATGTGACCTGAGTCTTCTTCATAGATCAGCATGGGAAGGAATGCATGTATTGAGTGATAAGGAGTTTTAGAGCTGATATCAGTCTGCAGTGGTAGCAAGAGATACAGCTGTGAACCCAGCATGTGATTCTCGGTAACTGACAGGTGAGCATCACCGGGGAAGGAGAGCACTTTCCCTGTCACTAGCATGAAAGGTTCAATTAGCCCACGGGCAAGAGACGCATAATTTGAGATTCAGGATATCATCAGTCAACAGTTAATGAGTGAACTGATGAGAGGGTGAGATGCTGTAAGTGGACCAGCCTGAGGAGGAGGTGAGTGCCTGTAATCAGGGGAGGATTATCACCATTCAGCTCCACGCTGCCAGCTGTGTTGCCTTTCTAAACACTGGCCTGGCTCCTTTCGCCAGGGAGACTGGTGGCTCGGTGAGGTTTGGAGCGCCTGGTTCTGGCTGCTAGCTGGAAGGCCCACGAGAAGTGGCCCTGTCAGGACTATTGCTGTGGGCCAATGGTGGAACCTGCATTTCCCTGGCACTGACAATATGGGGAATATCACAGGTGACTTTTTAAGAGGGTTCAACTCTGAATCTTTCGTGGGTGGCTCAGACTCATCATCTGTTGCCAGAGTCCACCATGGTGGGTCCTCTGCCCACTGACTGTCCGGAACCAGAGTTTTAAATGTCTTAACTGTACAAAATAAAAGTCATGCTGGCGAAAGATAACCTGGTGAACTCTGTTATCTGCAGAAAACAGGTATGACACAGCATCACTATAAGCTTCCTCCATGACACCCTATCAGTGGGCCTCAACCCTGCCCTGGGGGGACCACTGGTAGAGGGGAGAAAGTAAATCAATCTCCAGGCCCATTCAGCCTTTAGGCTCCCTGCTGGTCCTTTAAGAAGGGTGCTAACTAATGACAGGTGAGTTTTGTGAACACAAGAACTGGATGGGGGCATTTCAACCTGTTTCACAGAGGCAACAGAAGAACCACTGGGCGTTAATGACTTCTGTTCTCTACTGACCTGGGCTGGATACAAACGAACGAGGGATTTCGAAAGGAAAGGCTTTGTGTCCCATGATCATTCTCAGCTCAGGCAGACAGACATGTACTAGCTTTGCTCGAGGTAGCACCTAAAAATGGCACTGGCCGCAGCAGCAGGGGCAGCGGCCCAGGCTAGCCATCCGAGTACCTACCTAGGGGTCTGGGGAGGATTGTACTTTTAAAATAAAAACTTTCCTCTCTTCATGAACATGCAATGCAAAGAACATCTAGGAAAAACTGAACCAGCACCTGTTAAGGGCCAGATCTTTAGACAGGGCTAGGAAGAGGTGGAGAAAATAGCTAAATGGGTGTAATTATCCAATAGTAGTCTGGTTATCTTACCTTGTACGACTAGCCTTCCCTGGGCAGTTCTCCGCACTCTAGTGCCGGGTTTGTTAGCAGCACAAACGTATATCCCAGAATGCTGCACAGTGAGGTCAGAAATCATTAGGTTTCCTGTCCCCAGCACCTGAATTCCTTCTACGCCAATGGGACGGCCATCTGGAAGAGGAAACGAGACAAAATTACTTAGTGTACCTTTAAGCTGAACTCTCTAGCCCACAGTGAGGGGAGTTAGTCCTGAGTCCCAATTAAGGGGAGTCCTTCCATTGACTTCAGTGAGTTTTAGCTCCAGCTCTCCACAGTGCAACTCAAACTATGCATGTGACATGTGGAAAAAGCCAGTCCAAGAGCCCCAACTAAGCCTTTGCCCCCAATTACAACATGTTTCATTAGTATCAGGCCATTGCATTTTATTGTTCCATTGGCTGGTGTTTTAAGACTCCGCGCCTGACAAACACAGCTCTAAATCAGCCCTAGCTCGTTCCAGGGAGTTTGAGTGGAGAGCCGGGTGGTTATTGCTGGAGGAGCTGCCCTTTCATCAGATGTGAAACTGAAATCCTGTTTCCTTCTTGCATTTGTGTTTAGAAAGAAAGTTAAAAGCCCTACAGAACCAAAAAATAAAGGCCCAGCCTTGGGGTTCCTAGCACCTGAACACAACACACCCTCTTCAAATATTTGTTCCTTTCGGTAGCAAAACACTTTTCGCATTGTGCTTTAAAGGTGTATTGAGATATTAAGAAAAAAGGTTCCAGAGGAGCAGCCGTGTTAGTCTGTATCCGCAAAGAGAACTGGAGGACTTGTGGCACCTTAGAGACTAACCAATTTATTTGAGCATAAGCTTTCGTGAGCTACAGCCCACTTCATCGGATGCATCTTCTTACTATATGTTCCATTCTATGCAGGCTGTAGCCCACGAAAGCTTATGCTCTAATAAATTTGTTCGTCTCTAAGGTGCCACAAGTACTCCTTTTCTTTTTAAGAAAAAAGGAAAATTTAGGCTCACTATTAAAAATTCCTGCCACTGATTATATTAGACTGTGGCATAGTCTCCCCAGGGAAGTAGTGGAAATCCAATAAAGACTTTAAACATTCCGTAGAGAACAGTCATTCACTGGCAGGGGATCAGCTAGATAAGACAGTAATTTTCCGTTTCTATTGCTCAATCCCAAGATGCTGTGCACCTGCAATTGCCATTGATTTGGCCCTCTGATTCTAGGGTTGGCTTTACTCCAGTCAGACGCATAACTACCAAGTTGTCTTAATCACAAGGAGCCTTCTACCAAAGGGACTGCGAACGGTACTGCTTGCAACATTCACGGCTCTGTGGAACAGACAGTCATTCCAGTGTCAATATCTACTGTAACCCAACAATGGGAAATTTATGGGCCAATCGGTGTGGAAATGAAGTTGTTGACATTCCAGATGTGGCTGGGTCACCGTAGTCAAGCAGCTGAGACACCTTATAATTTTTATCTTTGCTATTGGTCTTCATGCTTCAGGCAATAAACTGATTAGCAGCTGGGGTCAGGAAGAAAATTCCTTCTGTAGAATAGTAGTGCAGAATGAAGAGCTTTTATGGGGGTTTTATCCTGCCTGTGAAGAATCCAGAGCCAGCCACAGCCTTACAGAGAACCAACGAAATGGCTACACTCGTCAATTACAGTATAGTCATTCTTCCAGCAGAAAGGGACACATAACTATCACCCCACCCAAAAGCCACTTTGCAAGCCACCTGTGATATATCGGGCATCTACCAATTTCTTCTGTTTGTTTCTACTTAAGTTTAGGCACGCAATTTCTTCCTCACTCCAGGAACTATTTCGTTTACACCGAAAGCAAAACCATTTATCACAGGAGCCAAACCACCAAGACAGCTTAAGTCCTCAAGAACAGGAGCACTAAGAGATGACACTAGACAAAAAAACAGGTATTTTAAAATAAATCAGCAGATCCTGCAGTATGTGTTCACCCATCAGACCAGCAGAAATAAATAGTCTAATTTCAGACAGCACCTTGACAGAGAGCGGTGGGAAAAGGTACTATGGATTGAAAGACACAAAACAGGGGACGTGCCCTGAAAGTTGCAGAAGCATCTTCTGCCCATGATCTTTGCAATGTTTTACAGGAAATGTTTAACTCAGAGGTTTCACTGTTCCGTCAGGCAGGCAGACCCTGGACACTTCATTATTTACGTTACAGTGAAAGGGGCTCAGGTCTTTCAGACAGAGAAAAACTATGTCATTAAATAATTGTATAGATGGCCGATGTGCTGCAGCAGGAAATTGCTCAGCCATAAAAAAGGACAGTAAAGCATGACCTGTCCAGTGTTTAATGAGCAATAAGAAGGGTCGGTTCCTTTTGAATAACATCATGTAAACCAAACTGTAAAGAAGGTCTGAATTAAATTCAAATTGAACTTGATTTCCTCTTTAAATTAGACTTTTTTGAAGCCCATATTTACAATAGGTGTAAAAATCAAATCTCTCTCCTGAGGAAGTAGGACAGGTGAAATATGTGAGCAGGCTGTACCTGGCAGGTAGGCTGTATGATTGTATACATGAGTTAAGAAATAACACAGAAATATGACTTGAATGCCAGCCTGGGTTATTACGCTATTTACCATGTGCTACATAAAAGACCCAGGCTGCGTCAGATATGCCGCGCAGTCGAAATATCAGTGTCAATATGTTTCCGTTTGTCTCTACAGAGGCCATCGATTAATTAGAGGTGTCAGAGTTTGAGGAAATTTCTCCTGCCAGCTAAATTTATCTCTTTTCTAAACAAAAAAAATAAAATAAAGTTCTCCCAGCTCATATTCACCATTCAAATGATAAGGTGGGTGAGGTATATCTGTTATGGGACCAATTTCTGCTGGTGAGAGAGACCTGCTTTCGAGCCACACAGAGCTCTTCTTCAGCTCTGGGAAAGGTACTGAAGAGCTCTGTGTGGCTCAAAAGCTTCTCTCTCTCTCTCTCACCAACAGAAGTTGATCCAATAACAGATATTACCTCACCCACCTTGTCCCTCTAGTATCCAGGTACTGACATGGCTACAACTACACTGCATCCACCATTCAAGTCAGGCAAGTTTTGCCATCTCTAATAATCATAAAAGGTTGCATTTGCTGGCTCAATTCACACTCCCTCTCTCAGGGTCTGTCTACGGCGACACTCTGTAGTGTAGACACTACAGAAATGGAAGGGTTCCTGATTTAGTTGGGGATTGGTCCTGCTTTGAGCAGGCGGTTGGACTAGATGACCTCCTGAGGTCCCTTCCAATTCTGATATTCTAGGATTCTATGATCTCTGTAGTAAACCCATCCCCTCAAGAGGCAGTAGCTAAGTCGATGGAAGGAGACTTAGCTGCATCTACAGTTGGGGTTAGGTCGACCTAATTACGGTATAAAATTTTTCACAGCCCTGAGTGATGTAGTGTAAGAAATGTCAAGGAGTGGGTGTGGCCCACGCCCCACCCCTCCAAGGGACTTAGGTCCCCAGCTGGGCCAGAGTGTGGTGCTTCCCCCAACTCAGGATTCACAGCCATGAACCCTCTCCTGGAGTGAGGCGCACGCGGATCTAGCCCTCAGTGTTATCATCAAGCCCCATCTCACAGTCACAGAGAGAGCACAAAAATAACCCTTGGCACAAGCACGGCTCCTTTCCTCTGAGGAGCACAGGGAGCTCCACACACATGAACTGCATCTCGCAACCGCCTGGCGTGGTCGACACATATTCTCAAACCCATTATGCAGACAGGGAAACCCCACAGTCTCAGCGAGTTAGTGACAGGGCTAGGAACAGAACCCAGGAAACCTGCGCTCCTAACTTTAATCACCCGGCCCCCATCTTTCAGTAGAGCAGTGGTTTTCAACTGGGGGGGGTCCATGGACCTCGGGGAGTCTGCAGACTATGTCTAGGATTTCCAAAGGGGTCCCCTCCTCCATCTGAAATTTTGAGGGGTCTGCAAATGAAAAAAAAGTTGAAAACCCCTGCATTAGGCTATATCACAAAGAGGAAAAACATCCTGCCCCAGCTAACTTGCTCTAAACGCTGCTGCTCGGCTCTCTAAGCTACAGGGGCTCACAGGAGTGAAATGTTTGATGTGACCTTTAACTTATTTTGAATCAGCGAGCAACAGAGAGCAATCTGGACAGGCTTGTTCACTGTATCCTGTTTGCCGAAGTTTGCTGCAGAGCTATCCACCCTTTAAAACAATGGGAACTAGACAATCTCCAAAGAAGTCAGCCTTGCAAGTCTAACCAGTCTGGCAAACCCGAACACAAACAGAACATGAACGTACCATTACTTGGCTTGTGATAATACCTAGGAAGCCTATCCATGGACCAGGGCCCCACTGGCGCTATACAAACAGTTAATAAAAAGATGCTGTCAAGGTTCCTCCCCCACTCTGAACTCTAGGGTACAGATGTGGGGACCTGCATGAAAAACCTCCTAAGCTTATCTTTACCAGCTTAGGTCAAAACTTCCCCAAGGTACAAAATATTCCACCCGTCGTCCTTGGATTGGCCGCTACCACCACCAAACTAATACTGGTTACTGGGGAAGAGCTGTTTGGACGCGTCTTTCCCCCCAAAATACTTCCCAAAACCTTGCACCCCACTTCCTGGACAAGGTTTGGTAAAAAGCCTCACCAATTTGCCTAGGTGACTACAGACCCAGACCCTTGGATCTTAAGAACAATGAACAATCCTCCCAACACTTGCACCCCCCTTTCCTGGGAAATGTTGGATAAAAAGCCTCACCAATTTGCATAGGTGACCACAGACCCAAACCCTTGGATCTGAGAACAATGAAAAAGCATTCAGTTTTCTTACAAGAAGACTTTTAATAAAAATAGAAGTAAATAGAAATAAAGAAATCCCCCCTGTAAAATCAGGATGGTAGATATCTTACAGGGTAATTAGATTCAAAAAACATAGAGAACCCCTCTAGGCAAAACCTTAAGTTACAAAAAAGATACACAGACAGAAATAGTTATTCTATTCAGCACAATTCTTTTCTCAGCCATTTAAAGAAATCATAATCTAACACATACCTAGCTAGATTACTTACTAAAAGTTCTAAGACTCCATTCCTGGTCTATCCCCGGCAGAAACCAGCATATAGACAGACACACAGACCCTTTGTTTCTCTCCCTCCTCCCAGCTTTTGGAAGTATCTTGTCTCCTCATTGGTCATTTTGGTCAGGTGCCAGCGAGGTTACCTTTAGCTTCTTAACCCTTTACAGGTGAGAGGAGCTTTCCCCTGGCCAGGAGGGATTTCAAAGGGGTTTACCCTTCCCTTTATATTTATGACAGATGCCCTGAAGAGCTCACACTCTTGGCACAGAACAAGACGCAATGCATCAAAACGAGAGTGAGAACTCCCCAACCATGCAGACCGATGGTTGTGCTGTAATAGCTTCCCATTGCAATGCCAGCTCAGAAGAGTTGAGACACCCTTTCCCAGAGCACATGGAGGAGAAGGTGGTATTCCTCATGCAGCCAGCCCCCTGCTCTCACCCAAACTCTGTGACTAGACTGCAGTTTCTTCTCGGATGGTGGAATGGCTCAAACATCAGTAACTTACCACACCACACACACTACAGAAGTTTGGAATCAATCAGCCAGACTCAAATGGAGACAGGATCTCAGATCCCCAGACTGCCTGCCTGGGACAGGATGCGAATCTACAGGGTAGTGTGTGCCTTCTGCAAGGTACCGAGCACCTCCCTTACCCTTTCAGGATCAGCGTTTGGAAATAGCATTCCTTTTCATGGGGGCCCAAAGAGCCCAGTAAATTTACATGCAGCAGTCCCTTCCAGAAACTCGACCCCAACAATAAGCAGGACATTTTGCATCCTCTGAAATCAGCCATGCCAGCGGCTTTTGAATGTTTTAATTCTTTGGAAGACTTTGTGAGACAAAAACCATCTTGTGGACCTCCTACATCTTCCTACTCTGTGACATTCACTGTCTGCTAGACTACAGTCTCTCAGAAATGATGACTAGTGAATCAAAGAACTACCAATGAACCCCTAGAACGGGTGGTTCATGGATCATCGTTTGACACCCAGTAGGCTGTCTGATTGAGCAGGAGATGAAACCCCATTATGAGTCCCAGTGTCACATGGCTTCCCCGGGGGATATAGGAGGAACTGAGCCCTAAGTCTGTGTGCCTACTTGGAGACTTCAGAATTAGGTCATTTCCATTTCACTTTATACTGATGCGATTGTGACAAAACAACACTATGAACCAACTAGCAAACAGCAGGGTGGAATACTGATAGGGCCTTAAAACGCATGTGGTTTTTAAGGGGGGGGTTTCGGCTGGTAGTGAAGAGCAGCTGGATTACTAATTAATAAACACTGCTCACACTGAAGCTGGCTATACTCCAAATAGGAGACACCCTCAAAGAACCTCCTTGCAGTGCACAAATAAAGTTTTAAAATTTCCCATTAGAGTGAAATCTGGAGGAAAGATCCCTGCAATTTGGGGTAGAAGTTATTTAATTTTCAAAGGTATCTGGGATGCTTTTTCACTGTAATGGATTCCATTGTTCTGTCTACTAAGCAAATGACTGGCACGTCAGCACCAATTACAGAAATTCGTTAAAACGTGCCAGGCGATATGAATATGCAACAACGCGAATGCCTTTCTTTTATAAGTAGCAAGTAGAAAGAAAGTAACAACTTTCTAATGTTGACCATTTAGGTCTTTTGTGAATTCTTTGTATCCTGGCATAGCAGCCTTCTACGTTTTAGACACATAGGTCTTCTACTCCATCAGACATTGGGCACCATGTATTAGCATATTTAGAATACATTGCAACAGTTGACTATTCAGTGTGTGAAGTGGTGAAATTTACTCTATTATTTCTAAACACTTCAGGGAATGGTGCTCCTGTCAACCAGTCAGCCATCTACTGCAAGCTTCTGTGTCCAATAAGTTACCAATTAATTGGCTCCTACAACTGTTGTATGGTTTATGTGTTGAATGGCTCCCTCTTTAGTAATTTCCTTCCCATTGTGTAACCCTTTCTGACAAGTTCTGTATAACGCTATCAGATAATCACTGCCCTTTCTTCCTTGTCTCACTTTTGTAGATCTCTCTAAATAGCGTGTTATTTTGTCTCAGTATCTTTGATGGAGGCCAGATCAGCAGCTTGTCAGTTAAAGGATAAGCTGATATGTAATACATTAAAAATCATTATTCATTCTGCTGGCTTTGCAATAAGTTCCCTGGAGATTCATTTTTGTACGCCTACGGGATCAGGTTCGAGTGTGTAGTTGTGAAAGGACAAATCTTATCTTTCTTGAACAAACCAAAACCTTAACGATTTTACACTTCTCTCGGAACAAATCCTCTAATGAACATTTCACTTTGCAAAGCATTTCATGCAGTGGGAGACACAAGAACTTTGTGGTAGAGGGATACAAAATATTCACAAGGAAATAAAAGTAAAAGTTTATTGCATATCATTCAAAAATTGACCCATGATTTGTATGATTTTTCCCCCCAAACAAAACTGGGTCCATTTCCCACTGAAAATCAGCCAGGTTTTTGGCAAAGTCAGAGCAAAAAGTGGGTCCATTTGTTTAAGAGAAGACAGCTTTTACACACAAAACAATGCAAAAATTCACATTTGCGCTCATTTCTGAATAAAACAATTGCCATTTCATTGAAATGGCAGCAAAATAAAAACTGAGGGGTACAAAGGACCCCCATGAAATGGCAAAATCCTGCAAAGGTGAACTACTTCAATGGTTTTCTGATTTTTAAAAAAATGGTGCACAAATTATTCATTTATATTCGTTTTTATTTAAATAAAACTGAAACTGAGCCTAATCTAAGTTGGCCGCCTACCTTTAAGGCTCCACTGCCATATATTTTATAGTTTATGGTTCCATGTGGAAAGTTTTTTTCTCCAAGCTGTATTGCTTCAACAGTTATTTAAGAGGAGCCCTCCTGCAATTACTCTTCATGAACTAGCATTGTAGGAGGTGCCTCAGACAGGTAAACTTCATACATGAGGAAGCTACACATGTACAAACTCAATCAGGCATGAAAATACCTCTTCTTTGATGTCAACCCCCACGGCTTCCCTCAACTGGTTTTGTCCTACTTGGGAGTCCTTTCAAAGTTGTGTTGTCTCCTTTCCCCTCCTTCTGATTGTGAGGACACAAGAACACCAAAGACTATGTCTGATATTTTCACATTATTGAAATAGTTCAAAAAAGAGCCTAAGGGATCCCTAGATCCATTGAACTCGTAAGCAACCTTTCACATCATTGTAGAAATAGACAAAAGAATGTGTTTCTTTGGGAGGAAAGCATTCACACTAACATGGAAATAAAAATAGCGAGGTTTTCTTTTGACTCGGTAGCTCTACATCAAATGCCACGACAGAGAAGTTGGGGTCTTTTTTGATAGATAGTAGTGTTGGACTGAATCTATATGGGGTAATATGGCTCGATGCTATTATATCTTCATTAATACCCCATTCTATGGAGACAAGTGTTTTGAACAAGCCAATGAGCTGATATAATTAGGGCAATTATAAAGTAGTTTATTATAGTTGAGAGTCAGGGTAGAGCGGCCTTGTGCCCAAAAGAACATTGCAACACCGTGGCATAGCGTATCCAACAGGTTTTTAAAACAGCATCAGTATGATGATTATTGCTCAGGGGGAAAAGGTCAGTTAGCGACAGTCTTGGGTAGGTGGTATTAACAGAATAGAATCTGTTAGAATTAACAGAATAGAATTAATAGAATCTGAATGGAAAAGGCAGTGTGAAAAAAATCTTTCTGGATTACCACTACATAAATGTATTCTTGCTGTTTCCCTGAAGGCTCTAGACTGGGAAGCTAACAACCATTAATCAAGTTCTGAGAACCAGAGATTCATGAATAAAAAGCAAGGAGCGCGGCTGAAGTCTAGGGTGAGCATAGCTACCCAGAGTGTGTTTCACTCCCAAAAACGTAGCCCATTACCCTGCATAGCCACTTTGGGGAACATGTAATATCCTGGTGGGAAAATCTTGTGAGAATGAAATGGTTGCAATGTGCTTCTCCGAGGAGGAACAGCTCAAAGGTCTGGAAACATTCACTTGGTTCGGTTCACATACACATATATTTTCAGGTACCAGAGTGCAACACAAAGGCCATCAGCTATTTATTCAGGAAAGATTTCTGCTTGGCAGTTAAATGTGAAAGCACCCTTGCACTGTATGCATTTCTCTGGGCTAACGTCAAGCAGGCAGAGCTTAACATAAAATTCTTTTTTCGATTGCAAACAACACTGCACTACTCCACTCGTGCGATAGAACTTGACAGTGGCTCAGTTTTTCATGCTGATTAACAAATACTCTTGACCTCACCACTGAGTATCTGTTCTTCAGAGCTTCATGTGTGCAGCTATTAACCACTCCCATTCCCTGGTTTTATTTTAAATCACTCAATAGACAGACAGTTTCTCTCAAGTCTGTTTTACATGGAAGACATGTTTGCGAATGAAGTCACTTCTCTGGAGCCAACGTTGATGCTTTTGATGCAACTAAAGAAAATGCTGTCACTTTTTGGAAAGATAAAATTATCACCTTTCATAAAACGTTTACAGCTTTAACCAACCCACCTCAATAACAAGTTGAAATAGGAACTCGGAAGGCAGTACAAACCATAGACAGAAAGATAAAAGGGGTTCTGAGTCTACAATTAACCTGAACAGTAAAGAGAAGGCTGAATTGTCCTGTGCAATAAATAATCAATGGCACATAATTATTTCCTGTGTGAGGACAATCAACAGTGCCAAGCTAAATTCCTGCCACTCAATTGCTTACCTAGTCGACTCCAGGACACAATGGGCCTGGGATTTCCAGTTGCAATGCATTCCAGGATAGCTGTCTGGTGCACAGTCAGGGTGAGGTTTTCTGGGCCAACAAGAATCATGGGATCCTTGTAAACTGTAGAATGGGAGCCTGCAAAGAAATACTCGCTGTTAACTGAGACCTACTAGGCCTTAGTGCTTAACTGCAAGATATGACACTATAGAGTACAATGATAACCCACGAGGGCTCAGTTCATCTACATGATGGAACAGAATGTGACCCATGTAACCCAGAATGAATGATTTCATTATATGCATTCACTAACTAGTCACACCAAACAAGGACGTTGCCTATATAACAAGTGTATGTTGAAGTGTGCATCAAATATGCATATTGACGTTTCCATGAGAACACTCTTGACAGCAATGACCAATCCACAAGCACATTCTGTCAATCCAATTCACATACTGTACACATATGCAAAGTATAAGAAAACAGCATTGACTGGCAATGGATCGGCCAAGTTTTTAACTGAAATGCACGCGGTGCCCAAGTCATCTGTAATGGCATGGACTGAATGCCATCTCTGTTGAAAAGCAGCATTAAAAGGAACAGACCAGATTTAGAGGTGACAAAAACGCTGGTGAAAGTACACGCCAATAGGTGGGTGTAAACTGATGTATGTATGTGATGTGGGTGGAAAGGGGAAGTGGCTTAGAGGAAGGATAGCAGCTCTGAGGAAAGTGTAAGGAGATGTGAGACCCAATAGGGAAGGGGCTGATTTACTATTCACCTTCGTATGCCCTCATATAAATTATTTTTCCTGCTTCACCTCTCGCTGCCCCCTTGGTGTGTAAGTTACACCCACGGACTTTAGACTGTGAGAGCCCAACACATGCTAGGCCCTCCCCCGCTTCATGACGTGGCTCACAGCATCCAGAACAGCTGACATCTGCCTGTAAAGGAGCCATCTCTTATTGCTGCTATGGCCATGTGCTTTGGCCTCAAACTCAACTAAGCTGCTGCCTCTGACCCCTGGTGTTGCTCACAGAGGCTGCTTCTAAATCTCTCCTTCTGGGGATCTTTTTAAAGGGACATTTCTCCAAGGAAATACTACAGGGGGTTCCACGCGGTGCTCCTTCCACAACAATTGACATCACCTCTGACTTCAGGCCAAACAGCTAACATTTATCAGAAAACCTTTCTGGTTTGCAGTAAAGGGGTGGACCACACTGATTCACGCTGATGCTTTTCGTATGACAGGTTACAGATCTCTTGGGCAGCGCTACAGTACCATTATTATTCACTTGTATCACACTTGCACCTAGACCGGCACTTGATTGTGCTAGGTCAGGGATCTCGAACCCAATTTACCTTAGGGCCACTGCCAGTCCTCAAATCCTCCCAGCGGGCCAATAATGTCACCTCGCTCCATTGGCCATGTGCCGCCCTGGCTGACTCTGCCCGGCGACCCAACCAATGGGAGCTGTGGGGGGCGGTGCCTGCAGCAGACAGAGCCGGCAGCATGGCTGCATGGGTCTCTCCTCTGGGGAGAGGGGCATGTGAATCTCTCCTGCCCGCCCCCCTCCCGCCCCCCTCCCTCAGCCGGTAGCCATGAGGGCGGGATGAAATAACTTTTTTTTTCAAGTTTCGGCGGGCCGCAGTGGGGAGGTTCTCGGGCCACAGATGGCCTGCGGGCCAGGACTTTGAGACCCCCGTGCTAGATGATGCACGTACTCCTAGGATGAAGAACTCATCGTCTAAGCTGACAAGACAAACAGAGGAAGTATTATTTCCATTTTACAGGTAGGCAACTGGGGCCCACAGACATTGGGTGACTTGCATAAGAAGCACATTGCGGAGCGGGGACCTGAAACCAAATCTTGTGAGAGCCCAGTGACATATTCATAAGACCAACCCTTCCTTTCATGCTTCCTACAGATTTGAAATATGATTTGGAGGAGGTGTGTTCCTCTGCACTGTTATTTGACTGATTTCTGCACCTTTCATCATCTTCCAGGAGGTCGGGAGATAAGGCAGAGCTGATGTACACTTAAAGCATCAGAAACCGAGGCGTCCCTGCTGTCACCCTGGAAATACTGGAGAGTGGCAACGCTTCTGAATGCCCAGTACCATTCTTTGAAGCTAAGAATGCATGAAGAGGCAACAAAAACAGTGATGCCTTCCAACCCAAAACTTCTGCTTCTCAGCACTCCCCACACTGCAGCTTTCCACAGAGCCACACGCAGTGCAAGCTGAACATCTGCGAGAGCCGTCTCGCCCCAGGAGACTGTCTGCTCTGCAAAGGGGGTTTGAAGTAACGTATCAGCCAATCCGTGTGTGGATGTAAGGAGCTGCGCTCAACTCCTGGTTTTGCTCCCTGTGTGTAGTTGGGTAAATCATTTAACCTCTCTGTGTCTCAGTTCCTCATCTGTAAAATGGAAATAACAATACTTCCTTTGTTGGACTGCAAGCTCTTCAAGGCAAGCGCTGTTGCTTGGTATGTGGCCATGCAGCATACAGTATAATGTGGCCCTGATCTTGGCTGAAGCCTCTGGGCACGACCCACAATGCGATACATCAAAATAATAAGGTGTGCACTAGACCCACAACCTGTCAGACAAATTGCACCCCGGTGGGAATCAATATGATACAACCCTTTCTTACACACAATAAAAGTCTGGCATTACTAAAAACTGGGCCCAATTCCAGAAAGGCAAAATCAGCCCAAAGCCATGACAACCCACAGGCTTAGTGTTATCGCTCGACGAGTGCTTTTTAGAGTGACCAAAGTCCATATCTGGTGCAGTCCCACTTCCATGGGCTTAGGTTATACTCCACAAACACTGAGGTCAAGCAGTGTTTAAGGAATTTCAACAATCCATTGCCGGTGGCAAGAATATTCTGTACACCTGCATGGACAAATATGTCCATCAATTTCGATCCTTAGGAGTTGGAGGGCAGCAGTGGGGGTAGGAAGAGGTGAAGGGTATAATTAAATCAGCCCAGGCTCATTTGGGTCTGATTTGTGACTAATATTGAGTATTCTGCTTTCAGATCTCTCCACTACTGGCTCTTGTACACGGAGCTTCTTCTGACTGCAAAGATCATTCAAACAGAAATGCTGCATTGGAAATTCTTTGCAAAAGCTTTCCTCCTAGATTTCATTTCCTCTTGCACTTTTTAGCTTCACACTGCAGCGGGGGCTGAAGTCAGGGGATATTACAGTGGTACTAAACAACCACAAATGAATGGCTCATTTGTTAAGCATGTATATGGTTGCTGTACAGGGGGTGATAAAGCTACAGGATGGGCTGTTTTTAAAGAGGTAAGATCCAAATCGCTTTGTGTATGTGTGGCTTAAAAGTTGGCTTCTTGCTAAGTCCAGTTCACCCTACCCTGTGCAATACCGATCTCTGAAGAGAATCAGAGCACTTAATTACATTTAACAACTGGCGAACTTTAGCAGATTTGAAAAACGAGACTTTCTATCGAGGGATCTCAACACCTTTCCAACTATCTCCGCAGCATCACAACACCAGGCTCAGCTCCTGTTCCGAAGCACTCAGCGCTGGCCTCACTCAGCTCCCACTGAAGTCAATGGAAGCTTTATTGTCAACTTCCATAGGAAGAGAGGAGGCAGTGTGACCTAGTGCTCTGAAGTGGGATTCAGGAGACCATGGTTCTATTCCCAGCTCTGCTGCCACTTTGCTGGGTGATCTTAGGCAAGTCATTTTCCTTCCTGTGCCTCAGTTTCCCAACCTGTCAAATAGGGATAAGGATACTGATCTTCTTTGTAAAGCACTTTAAGATCTATTGATGCAAAGCTCTGTCTAAGAGCTAGGTAGGATGAACATGCTTTTGAAAATTGCACCCCTCAATTCTTACTTAGGCTCCCTAAATAAAAAGTCCTGGTTTTCAAAAGCACTAAAAACATGCAGCATCTCTCACTGAAGTCCATGGATGCTCACCACTTATTAAAATGCCTAAATATTACCTTGGGAACCTAACTTCCAGTTCCCATTTTTTAAAATCTTGGTCCAATTTGGGCTAGGAACACAGTTCTCCTGGGCCCCCATGCCATGTTTTAACCCCAAGACCAACTCAAATACTTCACTGTACCTTATGCAAATCATGCACCCTCCTGGATTTGCAACACTGGGTCAGACATCTCACAAGAACAGGTTCCCTCCCAAGATTCCTGGTACTTCTCGCTTCTGGCCAAGGCTGAAATAAAGCATTTTCCCAAGATTCCTACAGTACTGTCCAGAACCAGAAATGGAAGGGCAGGGTCAGCAGCCAAAATGAAACAGAACTGTTTTAAAAGCTGTCCAAACTCTTTTGAACCCCAGAAGGATCCATTTGGGGCTCAGCTTAAGTGATGAGCCCTGGTGTGTGTCAGTTCTTATCTGCACCAGCCCCTCTATCCCAATGGAAAGTGGTTTTCCTCATACATCATCTTATCCCTCCCTCTTCATAGACAGGATTGTTCCTGATGGTGTCTTCCCTCCTGCTTTATCCAGTCTGGATGTAAATGTCCATCGAATGACAGGGGTGTCTGTCTTCACCATGAGAATAGGAATGAACAGCCCAGTAAGGTGTAAGATCCAGGGATGTTTTCTTGGCAGAGACTTGGAGTAAATAAAGCAGAGCTGGGGGGGGGGGCGCACACGGGACACGGACCACTATATGTGCCATAATAAAATAAGGGCAGTGCAATCTCATTCCTCTGTGTTGCTGGAACACGGGATGAAGTCCACCTCATTTGCCTTGTCATGCCTCAGGAAATACAAAATGCAAATAAGCCTTTTTTCTTCCCCATGCCTCTGACACGGGGGCCAGGAAGCATGCTGCTCTCTGTTCACAAGTGGCAACGTGCAAGCATCTCCCGCACTACGTCAGAGCCCCAGCGGGGACCTGGCCAGGCAGGTTGGGGGCTGGCCTGCATATCCATTAGTGAACAGGTACAACAGAGGGCACACTACATATTACTGCCACCACTCCACTCTGCCCGTATGTGGGCAGACTGCCCCTTAACATCACGTCACAACACAGCCCGTGTGCGCCGCACCGTGCTCCTTGGGCTGCCAAAGCCCGATGGGAGCCACTTACGGTTTCATCGCCTCCAATTCAGAAGTAACCGGAGCGCAGCGTACCTCCCGTGGTGCTGGCACCGGGGCAAGCAGAGAGCAGGGGGCCGCAGAGCAGGGCCTATGTTGACTGTGGCTGGAAACGTAAAACACCAGCCTTCCATGCAGAGTGGCTGATCTCGGCAAACGATCCGCCAGGAGGTTCTCCGCACCACACAGGAAATTCGTTTGATCCAGGGGGCAGGAATGAAGGAGCGATTCTTGGTTGAGAGCTCCAGGCGAGTGAGCTAGCAGCAGAGCCTAATGCATTTCAAAACACCGCAGGGGAGTGAGAGGGAAAAGCTGCAATTCCTAAACGAAACTGGCTGAGGTTGAGGCACAAAGTCCCCACCTCTGAACTCAGTCCCAGTGGCAGCAGCATCGAAGAGAAGGATGATCAGGCTGGTAAAAGGTCCCAGGCACCATCAATAAGGACAAGCACTCTGTTAGAGCAAGAAATGCCATCGGTGTTGCGCTTGCGTAAGAAAGGTGTCAGAGCAGAGAGGCAGGGAAGCCACACGGGAACATCTGCTCTAAGAAGGCACTTGAAAATAACCAATCAATCGGATGGAAGAAACATCTGTGCATTGTGCTGCCATGGGGCCACCCCCAGTGCTGCAGAAGAGGAGAGGGAAGACAGCTGCGAGACTGACAGCGTGCTTTAGGGTCCACAACCCCAGTGGTTCTATCCTCCAGTTCTTCCAGTTCCATCACCGCAACCCTGTCTAAGAGTGAGGCGAGCAGTGCCAACTGGTCAGTTGGGGTGCAGGCAGGTTGTCCATCCTATTGTACAACCATCTCATGTGGAAGCATTTGCAAGGACAACAAAACTGATCAGAAAGCATCCTGCAAGCAGTTCTATCAGAGAGGTACCACCACGCTCCCAGGAAACAGGGAAACATCAGCAAAGGATGAATCTTCTTGAACCAGCAACCTGCTCATCAGGTGTCTCTCTTTTACCAACATCTCCATGAGAAACACTGACAGTCCATCCTGTTCTGGTGCTGCAGTCAGAAACCATCTTCATCTTGTATCTCCTCTGGTCCATTAGCAAAGTCTTGGTTCTGAAACCAAGTTCCAAGGCTCCAGTAAAAAACTGGCTTGGGTCCATTTCTTTGCAGGTGGACAAATGACAGATTCACAGCCCCAACTATGGAGGTGATGGGCAGAACACGAATCGGTGTAATTCTTACCCCCTGCCACCATCACATCCAAGGGCAAGAAGATGCAAAGGTTTGCGAGGTGATTTTGAGTTCTATTATGGCAGTGCAACTCCCATGCGCTTATGCTGACGCAAGGCCTATACCGGTGAAACCACGTTGAAATGCTGTGCTATGTAGTGCTCACGCTGATGATAATGGTGTAACTTCCACTAGTGAAAGAGCACTATCAGCGTACTCTGCATAGTGTTGACTTATTCATCATGGGACTTGTTTCTTTAAGGAAAACAAACACCACAAACGCTGCACATAAAGGAAACCAGGGGAACATCCATTCAGAGTGAGAGATGGGCAGATGAAAGCAGCTAGCACTTTACTCCCTGAGTGAAATAATAACTCAGAGCAGTAAATTGTTAAACAGAACTTCAGCCCGCTGATAATTTATTGTTCGTTTTCCCCTCCGTGCAGCTACTGTTCACATACATCAAGCAAGCAGATCTGTAACAGGCCTCGAATGCTACCAGGTCTTTCAGAAGCAGTTAAGCCGTTTTCTTCTCCCATCAGATTTGATGTGCAACATCTCTCTGCGCCAGCCTCTCCCCATTTCCCAAAGGCTGTTTTCTTACATGCTGCCGAGAGACTAATCTTGCATTCAGGAAAGGAACAGCCCAAGCTCTATGACGTCACTGGCCACAGAGCCATGTCCGAGGATTACAGCAGGCTTGGTGACAGCAGGTCCTGGGCCTCAGTGGACATAGCTGTATGAGACAACAGGATCATGACTCCTGGTAATGAGATGTGGTGCTTGTCTACAAAGGCTAAAGTCCTGCCCCGCTGTATCACATTAAGCGACATCTGAAGCTCCAAAAATTCCAGGATTGGTTTGTTCAGAGTGCTTTTCTACACTCAAAAGTGACTATGTCCAAATTCTTGCTCAATGGATCTGCTCCTTGGGTATAATCGGGGTCAGATTGGCTTGCTCAACTGACCATTATATGTTGTATGCCTTATTTCACCTGTCAGCTCTACAGACTTGTACAGGTACAGCAGAGGAAGCTGGATTCTATTCCTGCTTGTGTATCTTCACAAAATGGTTAATTAAATTCCAGCTGGAGTCGTGTGTCTGACTGATCATCTGCATGCATGATTTTCTCTCTGGAACACCTATTTTCCATGCACAATTTCACATATGCATTTTTTGAAAATCGGCTCCCATTCTGCAGTATAATTCCTTATCTGAAATTTACATGTAAATTAGGTTTCTATATCTCCAAGAAGAAATCCAGACTGCTGGGTTATTTGCCCAGAAGTGGCCATTCAGGAAGAATGAAACCAACAGAAACTAAGAACCTCTGACCCTTTGAAACCACCCAGAAGCAAACCACCTATGTTTTCTAAAAGGAAGCTGAGGACAGAAAGTGCCTTCTCCTGCACAAAGTTCTAAGTTGTCATCTACTGTTGGCTGCTTGCTGGGTTATGAGTGCACGATTTGACTTCATATTTTCTTTTCATCACACTAGGGAGGGTGATTGAAACACTGAAGTAGGTTTTGTAGACTAACACTGCTTAAATTTAAAGGAGTGGCCAAACAACATCGGATCAAATGTTAAGGAGAAGGCTACACTACTTATGTTAGGTTGACTGGCCTGGCAGAAATTGAGCCAACTGATGAGCCAGTTGGCCTGGCAGAAAATGAGCCAACTGTTCATAGAGGCTTCTAGATTGTTACTTGTGTGCTAGAAGGGTAGTCTAATAAAGGATGGCCCACAAAACACTACAGACAAGACAAGCTGGACTCTAATGAAGTTATGGAAACATTGTGGGCCACATTTTCAAAGGTAATTCAATCCATCCTCCACTGCATGCGTGGACATCACCTGCACGCTTCATTTTTGTGCACTATCACAAAATGAAGGAATTTGCACATGCAAAGCTCATGCATACTCCATTTGTGCAGGGAAGCAGTTGTGTGTTTCTTATGGTATCGTTTGTTCGCACAGGTGGCAGTGTGCCAAAACTGTATGGGCACATAACACTCACTTTCTGGAAAACAGTTCATATGCCATTATATTTCCCCTTAAAGTTTTCGGTCCTATCAGGAGTGAAAACCTGGTCCCAGTGATTTCAGTAGGGCCAGATTTCACCTCTGTCAAGTAAAACCAAATAAAACCTAACCTTAATGCTCTGAGAATTGTTTGCTTTCTTTTTTTTTTTTTTTTTTTTTCTTTTTTGGAAATGTCAGTACTTCTCAGGATGTAATGTAACACTAGAATGTATTTCCCTGTTGGATAAATAATTGATCACGCCGCGTGTTGCAGTTACTTCCAGAGTAGACCAAGTTTGTAAGGAAATGGGGAATCTTTCACATTTCAGAAAGAATGTATTCTCCCTTCCTTCCTTCTACAACTCATGTTTTCCTCTTCCTCCCTCCTCCACCTGCCCAACGGTTGGCACTAATTAAAAGGCAAAGAGACAGGTTTATTTGCTATCACATGGACCAATCTGGCAGAAACTAACAACAAGCAGGAACGATGAATGTACTGTTTGTGGACAGAAGAAAGCTTTTCAATACTGTTATCACAAAAGTTCTGTTACACTGAGCTGGTTCAGAACAACAGATAGAAGGCGAAAGAGTGAAAGACCACGTTTACTGTTACTAACCTGACACAGTGAGTCTGGCCTCCCGGCTGAATTTCACATTAGCAATGTTGGTAGCCACACAGTGAAAAATCCCACTGTCTTCGGCTCTGAGTCCGGTAATCTGCAAGACTCCTTTGGGAAGCAGCGTGTACCTAGAGGACACAAAAAGAACAAACGAAAAAACAGTCGCAGAATGCAACATGATTGGGGAACAGAACTGCACGTCCCAGGTGAGGCTGCACTAACCTAGGCCAGTCTGCACCATGCTGGCATCCACTAGCCCCAGTGTTTAGGGGTACGTACGGGTGCTGTACAATCCAGTACAGCACCAAGCAAGCTCAACCAGACCTAAGGATCGGGGCCTATATTTTAAAAAAACCTTTCAGTGTTAATCTCCGGTCTCATAATGCACAGAATTTATCCTCCGCTTTGAAGAGACATTCTCCCTTCCTACGTGTTTAACAGTAGTAACACTCGTAAGGAAGGTGTATAAAACACTGAATAGGTTGGGGCTGGTCTGATTTTTTTAATCTTGACACCGTCCCGTTAGCAGGAGCTTTCCTCTCATGTTCCACTGGAACGCTCCACGTCAAAGGTGGCGTCCCTGGTTTACCCAGGACAGGTACCATCATCTTGCTATACGAGATATAAAGAGTCACCAGCAAAGCAGAATGTTTGCAGAGAGGGAACTAGCGAGATATGAACGGTTTTGAGAAATCGTCCCCACTGAGCACTGCATCGTTTTCTTGACTTTGTTAACAGTAGTTTTCATGTTACCAAAATTGGACCATGTCCCAGGGCAGCTGGCCCCTGTAACTGAAGTAAGTCCAGCTTGCCTGTGCCAGAACAGGTGCTCCCAGCTGGGCCAATTAAGGGGGTGGGCTGCCCCTGGGGCTCTAAAGGAAGTTCCAGTGAAGGGCTGGCTGTGAGAAGGAACTGGCTGAGAGTCAGCAGGTGAGAGAGAGGCAGGAAGCTGCAGGAAACAGGACTGCCAGACACCCCCCGGGAGGGGAGGCAACGAAAGCCTGAGATGCAAAACGTAAGTTATGAAACTAGTTTTATTTGTTGGTTTCAGTTTGGGAATAAAACTGCTCCAAAGAGACTTTGGGCATGGCAGAGAGTCATTTGGAAGCTGGGGAGAAGCCCTGCCTCATCACAGACAAAAACGTGATTATTCAGATTTCACTGGTTGAAAGACAAAAGAATACCGCCACCAGACCTCAGCACTAATTACCCACTAGCATCGTTCCATGTGGTGCAAGATGGCTCAGTTTGGCCTCCTGGAGTTGGACCAGGTTACACAAATGGTGATTTTTGTCCACCCCCTCCCCTGGTCTCATGATCTAGAACGTGTTGGGCTGTCGACCACATTCATTGGCCAAAAACACCAGAACTTCTGCCATGTGTCTGTTACTATGGAAGCTGCCAATAAAACAATCTCTGTCTTGTGGATCCTCATGATATGGGTGTGAATGAACCTCGGACCTTCTCATACCACATGTCAATAGAACAATTAAAAAAAAACAACTAAAACAACCTAGACTGAAAAGCATTAGTGATCTGACAAACCAATAAAAGCCAGGGAATTCAAAGCTAACGCTAAAATACTTTTCTCTCCTTAACCCAAAGGATGAAACTTGATGTTGCAGAAGTCTCTAAATAACATGCTTCCTTGCATACCGTAATGCTATCTATTATGGCAATGGGCTGAAGTACACACAGAGTTTGTAGATTTTAGGAAGTCTGAATTTTCTGGCCTTTGCGAGTCAGTTCTGTATTACCTTAAATGAGTATGTTTGTGGGTTTCAAAGATATATATTTATTATAAGTTGTCTGGCATTTTTTTAAACAACTATGTCATTAAATTAGCTGGTAGTAGGTCATTACATTTTGATGAGTTAATGATTATTTCTGTCTGGAAGACTGAGACTATCTTTTCTAGATCAGCATATGGTTAAGTGTTTCTAACCAGCTCTCACTGTGGGTTCCAAGAGCTCGGCTGAATCTCTGAGACAGCATGACAGCAATCAGTTTTGGACGTACTGCAGTTGATTGCAATCTCTCTGGGACTTTCAAATGTCCTTTATTTTGGATGAATTATACCACCAGAAGCCTTCATTTTTGTTAACAATCTGCCTACCACATTAGAAGATTCAATTCCAAAGCTATTATTCTGTCTTCAAAGCCTCAAAGTGTAACACTCAGCATACAAATTTATATGCAATTTATACACAGAATTGTACCAACCATGATTAATGTAGAATTTCAACTCAGCTACAAAGGAAGCAACTCTCTTCACCAAATCCCATTGGTGTCAGAGATTACAAATGTCACGATTTATGGACTGAACTAATGTTAAAAACCTTCTGGGCAACTGTCAAGGTTCCTTTCCCACTCTGAACTCTAGGCTACAGATGTGGGGACCTGCATGAAAAAACCCCTAAGCTTATTTTTACCAGCTTAGGTTAAACTTCCCCAAGGTACAGATTATTTTACCTTTTGCCCTTGGACTTTATTGCTGCCACCACCAAGCATCTAACAAATATATAACAGGGAAAGAGCCCGCTTGGAAACGTCTTTCCCCCCAAAATCCCCCCAAGCCCTACACCCCCTTTCCTGGGGAAGGCTTGATAAAAATCCTCACCAGTTTGCATAGGTGAACACAGACCCAAACCCTTGGATCTTAAGAACAATGAAAAAGCAATCAGGTTCTTAAAAGAAGAATTTTAATTGAAGAAAAAGTAAAAGAATCACCTCTGTAAAATCAGGATGGTAAATACCTTACAGGGTAATCAGATTCAAAACACAGAGAATCCCTCCAGGCAAAACCTTAAGTTACAAAAAGACACACAAACAGGAATATACATTCCATTCAGCACAACTCATTTTATCAGCCATTTAAACAAAACAGAATCTAACGCATATCTAACTAGATTGCTTATTAGCCCTTTACAGGAGTTCTGACCTGCATTCCTGCTCTGGTCCCAGCAAAAGCAACACACAGACAGAGAGAACCCTTTGTTTTCCTCCCCTCTCCAGCTTTGAAAGTATCTTGTCACCTCATTGGTCATTTTGGTCAGGTGCCAGCGAGGTTATCTTTAGCTTCTTAACCCTTTACAGGTTAAAGGGTTTTTTCCTCTGGCCAGGAGGGATTTAAAGGTGGTTAGCCTTCCCTTTATATTTATGACAGCAACCTTCATCCTAAAAGAAGCGGAATCCATTCAAAATCAGGATGCCCAGCACAGGTAGAAAGAGCCTAAACTAGCTCCTTTGTAAGCATCTGAATATTCCTCCTTCACCCAAGGGAAAGTAGAGGGCAGGTCGGGCAAACGGGTTTGGTTATCAGAGCCCTGGATTCTGTGGCTGTTCCTTTCGAGCCTCAGCTAAAGTGAGGTGTGATGATCTCACTCAAATCCCTGCCAGATGCGCAGCCAGTGTTAGCGGTCTGGGGATGTGGACGTATCTGGCAGTCTATTCTGACACTGCAGTTCCAACCCTGTGCATCTCTGCAACAGATACAAGAGGAACTTGCTCGCAAATCTGCCCATGGCATGGCCTATTCTAGCCAGTTCTAACAGTCTCATTTTGATGAGCACAAAAAATGTTAAGGCCCAACTCTGTGGCCCTTACTCACATTGAGTAGTACTTACCTTAAAACAGTCCCACTGTGTCATGCGTCCTGCTAGCAAGCACTCTTATGGAGCTACTCACATGAGTAAGGACTATTCAAAGTGCGTTAGGTAGAAGAATAAAGCCTAGGGTATGTCTATACTGCCACAAAAACCCTGCGGCTCAAAGTCTCAGTGCCCAGGTCAGCTGACTCAGGATTGGGTTGTGGGGTAAAAATAGCAGTATAGACATTCAGACACCGGCTCAAGCCCCAGGCCCCCCTCCATCCCGTGTCCAAACGTCTACACTGCAGATTTATAGCCCTGAAGCTCAAACCCTGCGAGCCCAAGTCAGCTGACCCAGCTATGCCCAGGGTCTTTTATTGCAGTGTAGGTATAATGCTAGTAGGCTACAAAAGGGTAGATGGAAAATACCAGGAAAATCAGACCGTTGCAATTTTAAACTCTGTGGTCGGTCTCTTGGGTGCTTCTATAAATTCACAGTACAGCTGAAAAGGTCAAGTATTGTTCTGGTTCGCGTGTGTTTTGTTTTAGCTCCAAAGGAACCAAGCCACATTCTGATACTGAGCTGACGTTTAAAAACAGGGGACTTTCAGAAAAATATTTACAGCTTCCTGGTTTCATCTCTCCCCAGTGTGCGGACATCAAGTCATGATCAAGGTGTGCCGTGATGGATTGGCTCCGGGAAGACTTGCTTTGTGGTGCTTTGGCTGCAGCTGTGACTATCACAGACTGGAGCCAGCACATCAAGCATTTCCTGTTACGTGCTGAAACTCTTCCCAAAGACTAGGGTGGCCTGCCACCTGTCCCTTCATTCCACGCCCACACTCAGAAGATCAAACCAGGCTTAGCGGCGCTTCCTAAACAAAGGGGGAAGGCTGTCAAACAAAGGAAGCAAGGACATGCCATTCAAGTTTTCAGAGGGGGGGGGCAAGAAGGGGAAAGTGATTTTGTTTTTTTTTTTAAGGAGGATTGAATGGGAAAGAGCTAAAAAGATCTTCTGTTGGCACCCTTCTTTTGGTCTCGTTGCCAAGGCTGGGGTATTACAATGTAGCTCGCTTCGGAAGGTAAGGCTAGTGATTAGATTGTATTTTAAACCTTCAGAACATAAAAGGATCTTATTGTACAACGCTTTGTCATGCTGGTGAGCGCTACCTTCTGTGAGCTGTCCCTTGTGGAGGGCTCCTAGCTCAGGAGAATCAACCTGCAGTGGGAGCAAAGTGTAGAGATAGATATTGTACATGGCAATCTGATTAAAAAGCCTCTCCAGTCTGAGACAAAAAAAGGACAATGACTGCCACACTGGCTCAGGAGGAGGCCCTACAGAAAGTGATTGTGGCTATACTGGGTGGCCAGGACAGTATGTTCCCAGCCCCCGGGATAGCCTTAGGAAGCATTATTTTGGCACATCCCCTAGCCAGAACCATAGGTGCTGGAACCAGAGGTGCCGCACCTCCTGGCTTGAAGTGATTTCCATCATACACAGGGTGCACAGTTTAGTTCAGTGGCTCTCAGCACTCCAGCACCCCGGGCCGGGAGGATGGAACTCATGGCATTGATTTAAATGTCTTTCCAAGGCAGAAACACAAAAGAAGAGCCTTCCCTCAGATGAACCCAGTTCTGATGTTCAGTGTGCCCAGATAGTGCATTTGCATCTCCCTCTACCAGCAAGAGAGCCTCTGGCCTGCTATTTCCAACATGTAGGTGTGGGTCAGTAATAAATTACCTCTATGTCTCTTACCTATCATTGTCCGTGTTGATGGGGACTTGATTCTTTTGCCACAAGATTAAGGGCTCTGGTAAACCATGGATCTGGCACTGGAATCTTGCAACACCTCCTTCTTCCACGACTGCGTTCTGAGGGTGAACATGGAAGTCCGACATAGCTGGAGGAGGGAAGAGAAGAAACAAAGACATGAAATGAGATCACAACAGCTCAGCGCTGAGAGGGCGCACTGCCAGCAGAGGTCACAATGACCCAGCCTGGCAGAAATATCCACCACTTCACCTGCCAAGAAACAGCAAACAAAAGTGGCTTGTAGGGTCATATCTGAATCTGGACCCGTGCCTTGGTGTCCAGAAAGGATGTTTGCACACCAGGCATTTGCACATGCTAACCCTGCACATGGGCAAAGAAAGCAGGATGGGAGGCCTGCAATTACACAATTTACGTGCGCTGCAATCATGTGTAGAAGTGACCACCATCACAGCAGGGGCCAGTAGGATGCTCCAACACTGCAGTGTCACTCATTGGCTGTCTTTGTCATCACCTTCAGTAGGCGTTGGATTCGGCTGCAGAGCAGAAAAGGTCTTGTCTCTGCGCTTTTCATTCCAGTGCTGTCAGTGCCCTTCTACCATGTCCACCACAAACGTCCTGTCCGTATGTTTGACTTAACTTCCCCATTAACTTTATTTTCATTTCTCTACTGAAAGAGTGCAAGGAACAGGCTGGCAACCATTTTATGGCAGCCGATTTTTTTGCTTGGCACATACTGCAGGTGGCCTCCTATCATTTCAAGTTTCTGCCTTCCAGCATCACAAAAGGAAAGGGAACAACCCCAATAAAGTCAGAGCTGTTAGAATGATAGGATCAGAACTGATAGCAACAGAGGTTGGCAAACACCAACAGATGATGCCAGTGCCAATTTTAGTGCATATTTTCTCCATCACCCTAATAGCAGCAGAGGGACCAGTTCAGTATTGTACAGGCAACAACCTATTCAGAAAGGATAACTGGTGACTTAGTGAATACAAAGAGACAACAGGTCAAATTCTAAGCTGCCCAGAGCAAGACACTGGAACTCACTAGTTAAGTACAGAACTAGGAGTGCTATCAATCACACAAGAATTCACACAGCATCCCCTAAACCCCTGATCCAGCATGCACTGGGCTCACTATAAAACCAAGGAGGGAAGTCCTGGCTGGGAATCTGGAGAGGAAGGGTCTAGGGCATTCTATTATGATCTACAGTAGTGTTCCCACCACTGAAACCATTGATGGAGCTGCACTGGTGATCAGCCTCCGGCATGATAGCCACCATGACACAAGTCTGAGCTTTGTCCGTCATTCATTCCAGTCAAAGAAAAACAATAGAAAGGGAACATTGTCCGGCGGGATCCTTTTGGCAAATGTTCAGATCATTCCTTATTTTAGCTCTCCCAAACTGTTAGCATGATGCAGTGGGGTTTTGCAGTAATTTGGGAAAAAAACAGATTCCCCCTGTGTTAATGTGGCATCACACTCTGGAGGAAGATAGGAAAGGCCAGGAACTGCTTAAAGATGGCCATGCTTATCAAGGAGTCGCACACAATCATGATAGGATTGGGGATATCCTTCAACAGAAGACAAGTTTAAGACAACAGCCCATGGTTTGTTATTTCCTGGTCACGACTCTCATTAGGATATAGGTTGCCCTCCGTTACATTAAGGAGAAAAGCATGGGTATAAACTACTGACTCACACATCTACCTCAGTTCTGCACAACCACATAACATGCACATTCCTCTACTGTTAAACTTAGTTACTACAGGCCCTGAGCCTGGGAGGTGATGAGCATCTGCAACAAGCATCCTCCTCAACCAGTGGGCCTGTAGTGAGTCCCACAAAGTGCTCAGGACTTTGTAGGATTGGGCCCTGCATGCCCACGACACTTGGGGTCGCCTGGGCTTCTCATGTCAACCAGCTGTCAGCAAAGGATAACTCTCAAAGCATCAGCGAAGAAGAAGAAAGACCAGCTTTTGCAGTACAATAAGAGTAATAATCATTTGTGGGTAAAGTGTCTGGCATGCCGTTAGCATTACATAAATCATCATCACCAGAATGCAATAATTATTACTATTAATTAATTGGAAGGTGCTAACTTTTGACTGCGTAATAAATATAACCTGGGCTAATAAACACCTCAGAGCCTCTATTTAGCTCATGATTCATTTTTAGTACCATATACACAGGAGGATCCCTCAAGTTACCATATAATATAAACTCCAAGAAAATCACGTATCCCCTAGCTCTGCTTTCCCATCCCTAAAAATACCCCTCTCCCGCACAGAAAAGCCCACCTCCTTTTACATGTGTCAAGGGTAATCAATGTGCATCTGCTAAGGAACAAGCTACGTATGTGTCAGGGTCGCTCACCTGCTGATTCCAGTTGGGCTTGGGCAGATGGGAGAGGCTATTAGCAATACATTAAATATGTGCTGCTTTAAACCCCTCTGCTCCCCAAATCATCAGTCTCAAGTTCAACATGCTAAATACAGATTTGTTAAGCTGATTGAATAGCGCTTGGTAGAAAGCCCCAGCACAGGGCGGTTGGAGGATTGGGAAGGTTTCCCCTGGACCCTGCTCTTTGGTTCTAAGTATTTCATTAATATCCATTTTGTTTCAAGTGCTTGTGAATTCCCCTTGCCATATGGTCTTGTGTAGATAGCAGTAACACCCAAGCTGCCATGCACCCTCAGCACACTAGACATATTGCACGACCGGATCAAAGCCCGCCTAGTCAATGGGAAACCCAATGGGAAACATACTAACCTGGAAACTGCACACACAGGCATACAGAAACATCTTCTGTTCTCCCTACAGGGAGCATTTCTAGGGAGTGTCCTGACGCCTTCAATAAAACTGACCAAACCTATTTCTGATTTAACTTTTGAAGGTGAAGAATGATCCCTTATCCCTTTTTCTCAAAAGGGCAACATGCCTGATTGTGGGCCCCTGAGTTACACTGGCAAGCACTGCATGAGCTATCCCATTGACTTCAAATGGGACCACTGATGTCAGTCAGTGCTCACCAACAGGGGGAAGAGTTCCAGAAGGAGACCTGGTCCAACGTCCACTGAAATCACTGGGACACTTTCCATTTCAATGGGTTTGGGCTCAGGGCCAGGATGAGGTATGTTATTGTGTCCATCCAGTGCAAATTACTATTCAATCCTCTATGGATTCTCTGGGTTTGTCCCAACATATTCACCTCATGAAGGGCTTGATCCACGTCAGTGGGAGCTGGAGCATGCCCCATGTTTGCCTTGTAAAGTTAATGCCTTATTTATTTTCATACTGTTAAACTGATTCTTATTTCCATGAATAAAGCTCTCATCGAATATAATGAGATGGAAGGAAATCCTGCACGAGGAGAAAGAATGTGGCATGCCCAATAAACTAATGATGATGTGTTAGTAGTACTTGTATTATCATAGAATCACAGAATCATAGAATATCAGGGTTGGAAGGGACCTCAGGAGGTCATCTAATCCACCCCCTACTCAAAGCAGGACCAATCCCCAATTAAATCATCCCAGCCAGGGCTTTGTCAAGCCTGACCTTAAAAACTTCTAAGGAAGGAGATTCCACCATCTCCCTAGGCAACACATTCCAGTGTTTCACCACCCTCCTAGTGAAAAAGTTTTTCCTAATATCCAACCTAAACCTCCCCCCGCTGCAAGTTGAGACCATTACTCCTTGTCCTGTCCTCAGCTACCACTGAGAATAGTCTATTATGATAGCCCCTAATCAAGGATTAGGCATCCATTGTTCTATGTGCTGTACAAACATAATGAAAAGAGAGTTCCCATTCCTAAAAGGGGGTACAGTCTTGGTAAGTCACCACCTGTCAATAGTATAGAGGTGCCCAATAACTGATAACCAAGCACAGTGACTGACTGGATGATCACGCTATAATTGGTATCAGCTGGCTAATCACCAGGGGTCCATGAACTCACTGAACTGCACAAAGTTAAACAAGAAAACAAAAACGCCAGAAACGCAGATGCCCTGCATTATGACTCACTGTAAGGATGCAGAAACTACAGGCTGGAAAAACGATCACGGTGTTCTCTAGCAATAAACAATATTGAAATTTAACAGCCGCTGAAGGGGCTAATTTGAGGAGGGGAGTGTGAATGAAAATAGCCCTCGGTAAAAAACGCATTTCCATTCCTTTATTTCAATCGTATTTCGTACAGGTAAAATTGCAGTGATAACCTCTCCTCTTAAAGACACTGGTATTAATATTTATCATGAATAAAACATGTGAGGTTATAAATAATTCAGTTATGAGGACGGTAAGTAAAATATTACTCTTCAGTGACCCTGTAATGTGGCTTTGAAGCACAGGTTTATGTTAAATGCCTAGGAAACACCACGACCCCTGCCAAGGCAGCTGGTTTTCACAATCTGCATTAAAAATTAATGCACTGACCTACAAAATACTATTTTTTAAAGCAGGTTTGAAACTTTCTTTACAGTTACAAAGACAAAGGCTTTGCTGGAGCTCATATAAACTGCCACAAAGTTAACAGCAAGTGAGCACCTGAATGTGGTTCCCAACCTCGAAATAAATCACATCGGTGTGTAAAGGAGAAAAGGGTGGGAAACTGACGGCTTTATGGGGCACCATTCAAGGGAGATAAATCTGTACCATACCATCCTACATACTTCTCACCTGACTGCACAACAAATCCACACCGCTGAGCACTTGCTTCTCTGACTCTCCTGCCTTTCACCAGGAAACACTAGGATTCTTGTTATCAGGGACACTTAATTGTCTAAACATACCTTGGGAACAGTGCTAACCACACCTTCCCGGTTGGCATCGGCCACTTGCCAAGAGCCTGATGGCTGCATCTAATTTGCATGCACATTTACATAATTATTTTTTAAAATAATTGCATGGCACTATAATATTCATTTGCACTCTCAGTCTCCTGGATAGGGAGGCACTATCTAATCCCTCTATCTTGGTCATTTAACTTACTCCATCCAGTTGTCCCCAATGACACCACCACTGCAGCAGCTGAGTAGTAGTGGGTGAGTGGAAATTGCTGGCTGGTTCTGTTGACCTGCTGTTAGAGGGGATCTGAACTGATCTTTCCCCCCTTAAAACTTTCT